CAAGTAACTGAACTATATATAAAATAGATAAGTTTCTACAGTGTATATAACAGTATATATTCTGCTGTACGGCCAAGCGGATATACGGTACAGCAGACTCACCTGCCCAGAGCCTCTCCCCAGACCCTCACGGAAATCCCACAGGGTCCCGTCATCGGGGGGACGGGTGGGGGGACCTGCTGTTCATCGTGTTCCAGATGACGTTCCTCCTGACAAGACCTGCGCGAGGCCCCACAGCAGTGCCCCCGACAGCCAGTCTCCTGCCTTCCCCGGAAGGCTGGCGTCCTTCCTGGTCCTTCCGCCCCACGTCCAACCTGCCTGACTCCCTGACCCACCAGAGGTCAGGCTCCGCCACCATGGGCAGCCTCAGCTCTGAATACAAACAATGGACTTTAATGCAAACTCCTCCCCAGAGCCAGCTCCCTCTGTGTGGGAGATGTCTCCTTCACTCCCACGTGGCAAGGCTCACAGGAGCATCTGTCTGCCTTGTCTGAGGACCAAGGCTGCATTAATGGAAGTATAACCTCCAAAAAGAAGGAGGTGACTGTCCTCTGCACTCGGTGCTGATCATACTGTGCTCAGATGCTACACCACCCTTCATCCGTGTTGAGCTGCTCAGATCTTGCCACTCGAATTCCTCGATGGTTTCTCCTGCTCTCGTTAAAAAAAAAAACTAAATCCCTATCTTGGCCTACCAAAGCCCGCAGAACCTTGCAACTGCTCCTTGGAGAACCTCCACTTTGTGCCCTTAATCCTGCTCCTCTGGCCTCTGCCAGTTCCCAAAATAGTCAGAGCTCCAATCCCTGGCCAGGGCCTTGCCCTCTGCTTCTGCTGCCCCCAGCTCTCCAGAGGTGGTCTCTTCCCACCTGGGACCTTGGGGGTCCCTATCCTCTGATACATACCAGCCCCCTCCCCACCTCGCTGATCCCCCTCCCCGTCTCTCAGCCACTATCACAGCTCATGAGAAGTCTTTTGTCTGTGGACTTGTTTCCCAGGAAGAGCAGAGCCTGCTCTGTTCACCATGGTGTCCTTGGCCCAGAGCTCAGGAGCCACACAGAACAGGCATCATAAATGCTGGTGGAATTGGTGAGCCAGCGGATGTCAGGGCCTTCGAGGACTCAGGGATCGAAATAAAACTAGAAATAAAAAGGAAAGTCCACTGACAGATGACTGGATAAAGACATTGTGGTGTACATGTACAATGGAATACTACTCAGCCAAGAAAAAGAATAAAACAGTGCCATTTGCAGCAACATGGATGGACCTGGAGATCGTCATTCTAAGTAAAATAAGCCAGAAAGAGAAAGAAAATTACCATGTAATATGAATTATATGAGGAGTTAAAAAAAAGACACAAGTGAACTTATTTATTAGACAGAAACAGACTCAGAAACATAGAAAACAAACTTATGGTTATCAGGGGAGAAAGGGAGTGGGAAGGGATAAACTGGGAGTTCAAAATTTACAAGTACTGAACTATATATAAAATAGATAAGTTTCTACAGTGTATATAACAGTATATATTTAATATCTTATAATAACCCATCATGAAAAAGGACATGAAAACGAATAGATGATTGAAACACTGTGCTGTACACCAGAAACTGACACAACATTGTAAACTGACTATATTTCAATTTAAAAAGGGGAGGCAACAGAAAAGGTGGACGCTGGGGTGGACCCAGTGATTTTGGCAAATGAGCTCTGATAAAATACAGCCAGCCCTGCTCCCAAAGGGACCCCGACAAGAGGGCTGGGCCCCCGACGCCTGGCTGGGCGGTGACTGTCGGCAGAGCTCCTGGTGCCAGGATGCACTCCGCTCACCGCAATGCTCAAAGGTGGAAAGGAGGCCCGGGGGCAGGTCAGCCCAAGGTTGTGCACAGAGGATGGCACTGGGCCTAAAGCACACTGGACCGCAGGACAGGATGGGCAGCCGAGCCCGTGTGCCAGGGAGGTGGAGGGTCCCGGGGGCAGGCAGGCCGTCCATCTGTGCCATTCCTGCCCTCCAGCCTGGGCACCGGGCCTCGGAGCCAGTCTGGCTTCAGCCTTCTTCCCACCCGCACCCCACAGCCAAGGAGCAGCGCTCATCAGGCACTGAGAAGTGGCTGCTGTGCCCGCCACCTGGGCGAGGGTGAGGTCTGACGGCAGCTCGAGGCCACCAGCCGGGCTCCATGGGCTCACCTGGCCCGTGGGCTTGCAGCCAGGTGAGAGGAAAACCTCCTCGGGGACAGATGGCAGGCTAGGGAGCCAGCCTGGCCCCCAGCCCCACCTGCATCCCCACCGCTGGGGCCGCCGGCACGCGCCCACCTCCTGCTGGTGCCTGGAGAAAGCCTGTCTGCGCTCCTCTGGCTACCACTGCCACCTGTTCGCGGGCACTGCTGGCCCCCTCATGGCCCCGGGAGCCCCCCGACCCACGGCCCCTTAGGGAGCAGGCTCGAGGACCCGTGCCTGCTCCGGGGGACACGGCTCCTTGCCTGGGGCTTCAGGACACCTGGGGAGAGCACCTGAGCACCCGGCCCTGGGCAGGGAGGGCTGTGAGCTGAGCTGAGGGACCTGGTGGGCAGTGCAGGGGGCGCTCCTGCAGAGGAGGACGGGACGGAGCCACGGCCCCACCAGCCCCCGGGGGGGCCTCCTCCAGCTCCCAGGACCCCGACCCCCCATCAGACCCCAGGAATTGGTATTTTTAACAAGCTCCCAGGTGGCACCGCTGAGCAGCCAGGCAGAGGAACCACGAAGGGAGAACCTTCCGGCTCCTTCAGAGATTCTACAAGGGACAGAAAGCGAGGCGCCGTCTCCTGATGGATCCCTTGAGACGCCAGCCGCTGAACCCACCATCTCCCCCCCAGCCCCCTGCAACGCCAGCATCTTGCGAGCACTCCGCGTAGACTGGCTTCGTCCCTGTCAGCAGCCCCGTCTTGGAGAACCAGCTGCTGAGGTGTGAGAGAGGGAAGCAGGGGCCAAGGCCTCCGTTGGGACAGCAGAGCCAGCCTGACAGCTGTCCCCTCACACTTGGTCAGAAGCTTCCAGAATCCAGTCCTCCCCCACCAGGCTCCAGCAAGACATTGTGGAGAATAGAAGTCTGGCTCGGCACCCCCACCATCAACTTGGGGGACAGAGGGGCTGGTTTAAGGCAAAGAATCACACAGACTGACGAAGACCACAAAACAGCAATGCAGTTAAAAAAAAAAAAAAGTACCCTGCAGTGGTTCCCAGGAGCTGTCACCCTCCTGCGTCAACAGTGTGATTCTGGACGAGGGTCCCACTCACTCACGGGCACAGTTACCAGGGGTGACCTTCTGGCGGGATGGAGGCTGGGCCCTCTCCACATCTAGACTCAGCCTGACCACTTGGGCACCAGCCTGGGGTGGGGGACCACCTGGGATTCTGATGAGAGCATCTTCAGCCCCTCGGGCTCCACGGACATTTGCCCCGAAGCTGCCGGGAGCCGGATGAGACCAGGGCTCTGTGCATCACGGCCCCAGAACCACCGCCCCACTACGTCCAGGGCTGAAGCCGATTTCTGCCAGGATGGCTGCAAATCCCTGCCCGCTGCTGCCGCGTGCAGCCCGGCCTGGACACCCAGGTCCGGCCCCTCCGCCTGCCAGGCCTTCGCTGGGTGTGGACCGGCGTGCTCACAGCCCAGGACTGCCCTCTGTGCACCCTCACAGCACAGAGTGGCACAGACGCCATCCTTGTCCCTGACCGACCGATGAAGAAGCCAGGGTGCAGTGTCACCCAAGGGCAAGGAAGAGGGGACTTGGCCTCGGCCCTGAGGACCCGGAGCCTGGGCTCCCAGCCAGTCCCCTGCAGCCCCGACCCCTCTCTCAGGCCTGCACAGCTGCTCCATGCCACCCCCAACCCGGGCCCAGCACGCAGGGACAGACTGTCCCAGAGCCCAGTTTCCCCGGGACCTGGAGTGCAGCAGGGGCACCGTGATGGCTCGATGCCCGTCAGCCACCGAGACCCCCAGGAATAGAGGTGGAGGGGCTGCGGGACCCCCGAGCGGCCCCTCCCATCCAGGCTGTGAGGGCAGTTTACATGTGAGGACGGGGTGGCGGGCGCCGCCCCCGCCTCAGACACCACCACACGCCGTAAACTGGGTGAAGTGGCCCTGCCAGCTCTGCCCCGACCCCGGGGCAGAACTAAAGGGACGCCTGGAAGCTCCTGAGGCCCTGCAGACAGGGAGGGTGGCAGGGCAGGCCTGCCACTCACCTTTCCTTGAAGTCCAGGAAGACCTTGGCCAGAGTGCTGCCCCCCGCCATCATGGACACGTCGATGGCCCTCAGGAAACTGTGATGCACCTTAATGACATCCTGGGAGGAAAAGCAGTAGGTGTGTGAACAGGCACGGGGGCCGGGAGAGCACACACGCTCTTCCGCCACACTCATCCAGACCCGTTGTTCTGATGAAGGATGCCACGCGAGCGGCCGGGCAGGGGGTGCACCCTCCACAGAAACGCCCTGTGCTGTTCACTAGAAGGTGCTTGGTGATGGGCGTGCACGGAGCCCTGAGCTCATGGAAGCCCCACCGCAGTCTGAGAGCAGCCGTCTGCAGCCCGCATCAGCCTGTCCAGACACGTGGTACCCGACCCCGGGCAGGCTGTGGTGCCAGAAAGGGACAATGTCCCCAGCCAGCATCCTGGGGACCCGCCCGCTGTGCGAGGGAGTGAAGGGCCCACAGGCTCAGAGGGATGAAGTCTCCCCACCGAGGAGTCAGGGCTTCAGCCCCGGAGAAGTGTGTCCCACTTACAGAGCAGGCGGATGGACGCAGGCAACCCCACGGCCCCCCAGCCCCCCCACCCGGGCCCCCCTTCTGCCTGTGGTCATTTTGCCACTGTTCATGGCAGGATGAACCCCAGGTCGGGAGCACAGAGGGAACGAAAATCCAGGGTCTGCATCAGCCTCGCCAGGAGGTGAGCAGCGCCCACCCC